TTATTATTATTATTATTATTTTTAACAAAAGCACTAACACTTGTTTTTGTTCTTGGTAGCAAAACTGCTCAATTCTTGAGCCAACTGGATACAGAATTTCCAAACAGAAGCACCCGTACAATTTCTTTTCGTGATCCACAATCCTCAATATGGGTAAGTGTTATCTGGAGTTTTTAAAAAATGTGGTAAAAATATAGACATACACAATAAAACATTTCTTAGTTCAATAATCTTTTACATGTAAAATTCAGTGACATTGATTATGTTAGTTAGTTATCCAATCATTCATCTCTATCCTTTTCCAAACTATCCTACCACTATTAACAGAAGTTCAATCTGGCCCCTTTTAAATACATATTTAATGAATGAAGAAAAGGCATTGAGTAACCAGTAGATGAAAGGCAGATGACCTTATATGAAACTTTGACCTCAAATATTGTCTCAACAACATGACAGTGACCTACATTATGAGCACCAGTACTGACCATAACCTTCTGAGAGCTCCTTGATCTCAGTCACTCATCCATCCTTCTATCTCTTGAATTTTTATGTCTATATTGGTTGTATTGAGTTGCATACAGTTTCTACCTTGATGGACCTCAGTAGTAAAGGAGAAAAACCAATATTTACACACACAGAAAATGAGGCAAGTATAGAGTATGTCAGAATTAGAAACTATCATGGCCTTCCAAGAAAGAAGCACTTACTTAGCATCAGGTTGTATGTGTGTGTAAACACTTCTTGGCTGAGGTAACACCTGAGGTGAATCTTGAAAGATGAGTTAATAAGGTGAAGAAAGTAATTTAAGGTGTCAGAAGAAATCAAGGCACAGAAACAAAAATTAAGACAAAAAGGCAAGAAAGAAAAACATGACTCATATTGAAGAAAAACAGTTTTGTGTAGCTTGAATGAGTTTTGTGTAGAGTAATGAGCTAGATGGTTGGAGAAGTAGGTAGAATCCAGAAGGAACTTTTCTCTGTGGTGGGCCCACTTTTGGATGGACAGCTGAATGAGATAGTTCTTCATTGTATGGATCGTCTTTGGTGCTGCAAGCTGGCTAGCATCTCCACCCCAGGACATTAAATGCTATTAGCATTGTCTAGACATTGAGATCTACAGAAATGCTTCACATATCCACACATTCTCCAGGAAGTTGATGGTACCCTCAGTAGAAAACCAGGGCCCCGACAGAAACTTGTGTGCCACATTGAAGAACTTGGACCTCATTCTGAGAGTGAGAGAAAGGTCCTGAACGATTTTAAACTGGGAAGGTTCAAGACTAGACTTGTATTTTAACTAGATCACACTGGCCACCATGGGAAAGATGTAGAGGAACAGAGAGGCCTCAAACAGGCTTATGCAGTAGTCTAGGTGAAGATGAAGACTTGCACTAGTTAGAGGTAGCTAGGAGGGTGAGATGAGGGTGCAGATCTAAGCAGTGCTTGGAAGGTAACATTGACAAAGCTTGGTGGTGGTTAAGGGGCCTTGGTGACTCCTTAACCACCCTAACCCTTACCCTAGCCCACAAGCTTCTCCATGGGTAAAAGATGAGGCTGTCTGCTCCCATAAAGATTTGCAGTCTCAGAAACCATGTGTAGGGTTGCAATGAGTTGATATCAACCTGATGGCAGTGGGTTTTAGATAGTGATGGTTGTATATGGCTTAACTCCATATACAATGGAACAAAATGCTTCCTGGTTTTGTACCATCCTATGATTGGTTGAGGATCAGACCATTGTGATCCATAGGGTTTTCATTGACTGGTTTTTGGAAACAGACGCATTTCTTCCTAGTCTGGAAGCTCCACTGAATCCTGCTCACCATCATAACAACTTAAAAGTATTCGTTTAAGATGGTGGTAGCAGTGCATGAAGTATATGGTCTGGGAACTGAACCTGGATCTCTTTCATGGAAGGCAAGAATTCTACCACGGAACCCCCACTGTCCTTGAATGGTTAGATGGGGACAAGAAAGTAAATGTAGTTAGGCATGATTCTCCAGGCATGGGTTGTAGTGAAAAGAAAGGATAGGTTTAATTTTTCTAAAGTCATAGTTTTTCCAGAGTTTGGGCACGTTGTTAGAGAAGTACTAAATTAGTTGTTAGATCTTTTTCCACTGCCCCTGTTCTCTTTAGTACCATGTCTGTTTGTTTTAAAACTAGGAAGACATTATAACACTTTTTGGGAATAGGTCATTATGCCACTATTTGCAAACCTTTATGTGCTGTTCATTTTTAACTCCTTTGCCTGAAAAATGTAGTTGTTCCAAAGTTTTAATAGGAAAATGGGGGATCCATAAGTTGTATCAACTGAAATCTGTCGTCTCTCTCACTCATGGCCTGACTCTGGGGAAAGGGTTGGAAGCTGTAGGTAGTAGAGATGAATCATATGTAGATGATAGTCTTTGACTTCTACCTGGATTTTCTTGTGGCTGGAGAAGGGGAGGGCAGCCAGGAGATGGATAGTGTTACCAACTGGATTTGTGGGAAAACTGCCAGGATGGTCTTGCTTTCTGTTTGGGAGCTTCCTGTCTCTGTATGATTTTAAGCACCTGTGTGTGCATGCTCTATTTATTTTGGCTCATCCCTTCAACTTAACAACATCATCCTGAATTTTAATATTGTCACCCAAAGCTTAAGGAGAGTCTCCCTGAGCTGTGTTTTCTGTGGATTGATTAGTGCATTGGTCACACACTCTTCAGAGCTATGAATAGAGTATATGGAGCAGAATTAGACCCAGGGTGCTTCTTCATGAACTGCATGTATTAGCTGTTCCTATTTTGACGCCGTACTATTAATAATTTGTCAGTGTTCAATCTCTTCAACTGACTTTTTATCCATATTAAACTCTTCTCATTCTGTCTAATCCAAATGCATAGAATTCCTTGGAGAATGCACTGTGGAACCATTCTACTGCTTTAGTAAAATTAAATATGCACACTGTCCCCTTGTGAAGTATGTGGCTTCTCTGTTGGAAAAAGGCACACCTGCGGTTTGCCTTAGTTACGATAAATAGATAAGACATGGGCACTGTATGACCTTGTGTATTTGTGATGAGCTCTACAAGGATTTGGGCTTTATAATTTAAACATTTCTACCACCTCATTTCCGGCAAGATGGTGGACTAGACAGACTCACTACACTGAGGCTCTACAACAAAGATGTGAGAGACCAAATGAAACACACACAGATGAAAATTTGTAAACCCTGAATTTCAGAGGAAAGGTTAGAGAAGTGGACTGAGTTCTTGCTGGGAAGAAAAGCTGAGTGGGGACAGCAAAAGAAGGAAACTGATTGGTGAACAGCTGGCCAGACATGATAGACTGTCTTGAAAACAGTTTTGGCAACAGAAGTTGGCCTGGCAGAGCAGATTCATACAGGAGATGGGAAAGGAGTAATTCCTTTTTAAAATTACACTTCCCTGGTGACCAGAAAGGTGGCCATCTCCCACCTTCATCCATCCTCATAACAGACCCTACTTTCCAGGAGTCCAGAGCCACGTGGTTGGGAGCCATGTGTGTGAGGCGGGGCTAGCTGCGGTGCTTTGGTGCAACACTTTGGTGCCTGGATTCACGCAGGCTCAGCTCCAGACCTACAGAACCTATAGAGTCACCAGACCAGCACTTACCTAGTCACCCTGTCCCAACTGCCCTGTTAGTGGTTCTAACAGACACTGAAACCACCTCCATAAAGGGCCTCCACAAACGACTTCCAGATTGAGAACTCTGAAATTGGATTGCAGGAGCACCCCCCCACACACCCCCGAATTGAGAATTTTCTTCTCTCAGGGTCCAACAACTGCCTGCACTATTTTGTTTTGGTTTTTGTCTTCATTGTGTCTGTTTATTCTTTCTCTTCATTCTACTTCTCTTTCAATTCCCCTGAATTTTATCCTTTCTATTTCCACTATTGTTTTTCATTCTGTTTCTCAATTCCCCTCTTCTTTTTTTCCTTTTTGATCTTTCCTTACTACTCTCTCTCTTTCTCTTTCCATCTTCCCTCTCATTTGAAATAAAATTCTAAGTATATATTTTTATTTCTTTCCTTTATTTTCTCATATTTTTTTCTTCTATAACTTGATTTTCCTGTCCCTCTTTCGTTATTGAAAGATTATCTGGGCAAATCATTGAATGATGCAGAAGTCATCAAGAGAAGATGGAAGGAATACACAGAGTCACTGTACCAAAAGGAAATGGTTAATGTTCAACTGTTTCAAGAGGGAGCATATGATCAAGAGCCAGTGATACTGAAAGAGGAAGTCCAAGGTTCATTGAAGGAATTGCAAAGAACAAGGCACCAAGAATTGATGGAATAAAAATTAAAATCTTTCAAGAAAGTGAGGCGGCACAGGAGGCACTCACTCATCTCTGCCAAGAAATTTGGAAGGTAACTATCTGGCTGACTGATTGGAAGAGAACCATATATGTGCCCATTCCAAAGAGAGGTGACACAATGGAATGCAGAAATCATCGGACAATATCTTTGATATCCCATGCGAGTAAAGTTTTACTAAAGGTAATAGAGAAATAGCTACAATCATACAGTGACAGAGAACTTCCAGAGATTCAAGCCAGATTCAGAAGAGGCCGTGGAATGAGGGATATCATTGCTGATGTCCAATGGATCTTGGCTGAAAGCAGAGAATATCAGAAAGATGTTTGCCTGTGCTTTATTGACTTTGCAAAGGCTTTCAATTGTGTGGATCATGACAAGTTATGGACAACATTGCAAAGTATGAGTATTTCGGAACACTTATTTGTGCTCAGGAGGAATCTGTACATGTACCAAGAGGCAG